GCTTTCTTTCATTTCTGTCCCTTTAGGACACAGACTATCCCGACTAGAATGCCAATTCTTCTTCTGCTTGGTGTACTCTTAACATAGGCCCTGGACTCATTTCAAACACCCTGTCTTCTAGGAAGCCTTCCCTGACCTCCGCAGCTGATTTGGAATCTCCTCCTCTACACAGCCATAAGACCTTGGGGACCTATCTCTATACAGTGTTACATTTAAATTATTTATTTATTCATTTCTGGGAGTAAGGACTGTTTCTCAAAATACATAACTCATTTCTGGTATTTCTGATGTTCATTAAGAGCTCACTAAGTGTTAATGAATAAGTGAAGGAAAAGAGGAAGATGAAGACAAAGGGGTCACTGAATGTAAATTAAGCTATTTAACATCTCAGAGATGTTAAAACCTGAAATAAACATACATTCTTTAGAATTAATGAAACATGATTATAAAATGATAGAAATTATTCCTTTTAGAGGAAATCCTAAGCCACTATAATTCATCAACTTTTAGATCTCCTTAAGCATGGTGCTTTGCTGTGTGTGCGGGTGTTATGGCAGCTTTTGGACGGCATGCATACAGTTTAAAAATGGAGTTGCTTAGAAGGCCTGGCAAGTCTTTTGAGATATAGATGAATACTCTTTTTACTATATTTACTTCCATTTATCATGGACTTTTCCTATAGATGAACAAGCATAGTAAAAAACATCAGAATGCTATGTGTTAGAATAAGTTTTAGGTGTTTCATATTGAGTTAAATCTATGCAGTAAAGCATTTCCTTTCAATGTTTATGTCAAATATATGGCTTGTACTAAAGACAGAAGTTTCCCGCAAAATAAACTTACTTGGCTTGATTTCTCGCAACTGATTAGTCATAGATTTTTGTTAAAGAAATAATAAATAAAATAATGTTTTAGGATTAAAAAATTTGTAAGACATGTTTATTGCCTTAAAATATGTTATTTTTTAAAAAAATCCACATGATTCTAATATGTTTTAGTTGTATGATTTCTCTTTCTTTTGTCTAAAAGCCCCTTAAAGATGAAAAAAATATGAGATAGGCTAGGGAGTTATAAAAGGGAATAAGGGATCTTTTGCAAGCAACTATACTATAAGGTTGGAAACATTTGATACATGTAGATATGTATGACAAAACATATGGCTTCTTCCTACATAGATGTTGGTGAACAAAACATAAAAGGTTAAATAGATAATCAATATGAACAGATAGTAAAACTATTAGGAAAAAGAAATTCTGGAAAGTAAAAAGATCATGCAAATACCAATATTAATAAAACTACATGGGTTAGTGCAATAAAGTTGAAAGTGCTGACACTTACATTACGGTACACATTCACTTGATCATTTCTGAACTCCATCAGGTTCTCCAAATGCTTACTTCTTTTTCTTTCAGAAGACCTATTGTTAACCACAAAGTGTGATAACTTAAAAAGAAATGCTTTACTTAGAAATAAACTATTATTTAAAATGTCTTTAAGCAATATCCTTTCCTTAAAGCATCTGATGTGAAGCCAGACATTGAGTGCATTAAAATCCAGAACAATGCTTTGATAAATCCTTTTCCTTCTTCCTGCAAAAGTGATTCTCTGCTTTGGTGTGATGGATTTACTACATTCTTAACAAAATCAGAAGCTGACTAAGCATATAAACTCTCAAACTCAACCCACTGTTGTGGACCAGCCATCAAATTTAACTACATGTATACAGATACAACTAAAAGGATACAGATACAGTTAAATATTTTACCCTAAAATTCCATTCTTATGAATCTATACAATGTCTCTTTAGTTGGTAAAGTACTCCAAATCCATGGAATCCAAATTTCTCCTTACATGTTAGGAAAGTGAGATTACCCAGAGATAGAATTTGTCCGTCACTTAGTAACAGTCTTATTTTGTGATGTTCCAAAGAATTGATGCGATTTATACTCTGGTAATTCATTTCTTCTAAAACCTCAGACCATATTATCACTGCCATGAAATAAGAAAAACGCTAACAATTGAGTTCCAGTATAAGACAACTTGTAAACAAATGGGGCTTTAGCCAAAGTAAGAAATTTGGGAATACAAATAAACAATGAAAAAGATGTGTCAGATTGATAAAATAATATACAAGGGATTTGATTCAATTTGGTGATCCAAATCCCGAGATCCAATTTGGTGATCATAATTAGGCCTGAATCTATTTAAAGAAATACTTGGAATATTGACTACAACTGAAATCCAAAGAGATGCCAGAGTGATTGTCATTGTGAACCTGTATAAGTGAAGATTAAATAGCAAGCACTCCAAAACTAAAAGCCCCATTTCCTCTAAAACTTTTGTTTATATTTCTGAAAAGCTTTCAGCAGGTGGATGGCACAAACAATGCAAAGATAAACAGATTTCCCCATTCATTCTAGGAAAGTTACTAAGGAGTGATAAAAAAAGGCAGTTTTTGTTCTATAATTCCTCTTATATATAACTCTAACCCAAGGATCAAACTTTATATTGGCTATTATTTCCATATCAAGAAAGCAAATCATACCTTAATGATATCTGTTATTATTAACTCTAACTGGTTAGCTTTCATTTATCAGAATGGAAAGTTATGTAATAGAATAATTCATTTTAAAAATATAAATGATAAAAATACATTGGTATTCTGTATGTCGCATGCTCATTTGTACTACTTTTATGTCTGATAACTTTGACATTAAATAATATTTATTTGTGCTGAAGATATGTGATAAATTATGAGAGAAGAAAAAAGGAAAAACCTTGAACAAAATTCTTCTATTTTAAAATGTATATGCAAAAATGATAGGAATATACTATTAGACTAGCAAAGTAGGTGAACTTTTTAGTGCCTTAGTGGAAGTGTTAAGAGTTCTTGTGGCATAGGAGTTGCAAAGCCTATGACTCTCTGACTGTTGCTGTCAACCAGATTTATGGTCTCAAAAATCCAATACAAGGTCAACTATGAGTTCATTCTGACTTGATGGAATGAGTTGAGTTTGTTGAGTCATGTGACAAAAACTGATGTGTAAAATTAAGTAAAACATTAAAACATTTAATAAATGCAGAAATAGAATTTTGTTGTCACCAATAATTTATAGTAAACTATTTATACATATGCATCATGCTTGAAAAGGTACAAAGAACAATGCCTGCAACTATGGGCTCAAACATAGCAATGTTTAGGAGGATGGCACATAAGGTGACTATGAGTCAGACTGAACTGACAGTACCTAAGAACAAAAAACATCACCAGTGTAACTAAAACCCAGTTGCTGTCAAGTAAATTTTTACTTAAGGCGGTCTTGTATATGTGTGTGTGCATGCGCATGCATGTGTTAAGGTAAAATTATGTCCCATAGGGTTTTCAATATCTAATTTTGTGGACATAGATCAAAGGTCTTTCTCTGGAAAAAGTACATGGAACTCCACCAAATTTATTGATTGGCAAAAGTACATGGAACTCCACCAAATTTATTGATTGGCAAGAAGCTGTGCTGCAACCCAAAGGCATGTGTTTCGAATCCACCAGCTACTCCACAGGACAAGAGTGGACAGTCTTCTCCCATGTGGTTAACTGCCTCTGAAAACTTGCTGGAGGGGCAGCTACGGGTCAGTTCTGACTTGTTGGTATACAACAACATCAAACTATACACACACACACATATATATAGTCGTCGCTGATTGCCTTCGAGTCGAACACAACTCATAGTGACCCTATGAACAAAAGGCCTAAAGAGAGAGAGAGAGAGTGTGTGTGTGTGTGTATACACAAAATAATCCTCACACCTATTTTGGAAGTGATTTTTTTTGAGGAGCTGAAATTTGTAATTCAGGGCAATTATTAATATGAACTAAAATATTTGACTTGCCACTTACAAGCAGTAAAAATGAAAAGTAGTCACTGAGAATTTAAAAGTAAAACTAAATTGTGTTATATTATTTAAATAGTTGGGGAAAAGTATGATTTAAAAAATAAACTTTACAAAACTATTTTAATTTCTCTATCTTCATTTGTGAAGGCAGTCAGAGCTAGGCTATATTTTATAAGACAATTGTGTATATATACAATATGTTAAAAATGTGTTCAAAAGGTTAGTGTTGCATCAATGCACAGAATAGGTATCCTCTCACCAGGTCTTATTTAAGGAAAGTAGAAAAGTTCAGCTGCTATCTGTTAAGGACTCTTTGAAAGACTATGAAAATAGAGGAGGGAAATACAGAAATTTATTACCAGGAGTTTTATATTATCAATTTAGAATATTTTATTAGACTTCAGTGCTCATTCTTAAAAAGTCAGCAGCTCATATCCACCCAGAGGTGCCTCAGAAAAAAAGGGTTGGTACTTAATCACAACAACTGAAAACAGTTCTACTCTGAAACACATGAGGTCATCAAGATTCAGAGCTGATTCTATGGTAACTGACTGGGTTCCCCCACCCCCTTATTCTTTTGTGGGAGGTGGGGTGTGATTTTTAAGAAAATTAGCTTAGTAGACTAGAAGTTCAAATGGGAATGGGGCACCAGGTCAAAACATTTTTATTAATGGGGACTATTTGGGAGAAAAGTTTGGGCTCTGCAAGGAAGTCAGACTTAGGTAAAAACACTTGATGTTGTAACTTTGGGAAAGAGTATAATAGAGGACATCAGCAAGTTATAAAAACATTGAGGCCATTTATACATTATAACTTCCTATTAATATTTTATCACCATACAATTTCTATTACAATATACACATATTTGTCCATTAAAGCACAGGCATATAAATTTCTACATCACTCAACAGAATGTTAGTTTTTAAAAGTATTTTTCCTTTTCTCCCCTTCCCATTTAACCCACAGTTCAATATAATGTTCTAATCATTTATCATTCTTATTATTTATTATATTTTTACCTGTCAACTGTGCACGCAATTTTGGGTGATGATCTGGATCTTCCTATCGGCGAGTATCTTCGGTATCTTCCTGACAGGTCATTCAACATTTCTAAGTGGCCATCAGACCTCTCGGAATGATTACGATTTCTCTTTGAATGATCAAACCCTCTCTCTGAACGACCGCGATCTCTCTCAGAACGGCTGCGAGATCTCTCTGAACGGCCGCGATCTCTGTCTGAACGGCTGCGAGCTCTCTGCAGACGGCCACGATCTCTGTCTGAGTGGCTACAAGATCTCTCTGAACGACCATGATCTCTATCTAAATGGCCCCGCGATCTCTCGGAGTAGCCATGATATCTCTCTGAATTACCGTATCTCTCTGATTCACCATAAGATTTCTCTAAGTAGCCAGGATATTTATCTGAGTAGCCACGATATTTATCTGGGTAGCCAGGATATTTATCTGAGTAGCCAGGATATTTATCTGAGTAGCCATGATATTTATCTGGGTAGCCAGGATATTTATCTGAGTAGCCACAATATTTATCTGGGTAGCCACGATATTTACCTGAGTAGCCACGATATTTATCTGGGTAGCCACGATATCTATTTGAATAATTACGATCTCTCTCTGAGTACCCATGAGATCTCTCAAAATAGCCATGTGCTCTCTCTGGAAGAACATGATGCTCTGATACTCTACGAGATCTCTCAGCTTCTCGATGAGCTCTCTCAGGTAGTCTATAAGATTTCTCGGATTCTCTACTAGATCTCTCTGAACGGCCACGAGACCTTTCAGAATGGCCACGAGACCTCTCTGACCGGCCCCAAAATCTCTCAGACCGGCGACGAGACCTGCCAGAACGGCCCCAAGACCTCTCAGAATTGTCACTGGAACTCTCAGAACTGGATCTTCCTAGCTGAGTTTGAAACTTCTCTGAACTGCTACTAGATTTCTCTGAATTGCTAAGGGAGATCTTTAAAGGGTCATGAGAACATCTCTCTGATTGGCCACAAGATTTGTTGGAACTGCTCTTAGATCTCTCTGAATGACCATAAGACTTCTCTAACCTGCCAGAAGGCTTTTCTGAACTGGTCATAGATATTTCCAATTTACCACTAGACCCCTCTGAATAGCAAGAAGACTTCTCTGAACTGATGCCAGATAAATCCGAATGAATATGAAATATATCTGAGTTGCTATAAAACTTCTCTGAACTACCATTAGATTTCTCCAACTCATCACACCTTACTGAACCATCATTAGAGATTCTTAAATAGTCATAATATTTCTCTATGTAGGTATGATATCCCTCTGAAAATCGTTTAGATCTCAAGTCATCAAGGGGCCTCTCTGGTTCACCACCAGGTACTTCTGCCTCATTATGACCTATCACAAAGCAATATTGATGGTCTGCTGACTGGTCTTGAGCTTCTTCTGAATTGTCTTGATTTCCTTCTGCCTGATGATAGTTCTTCTCTGACTGGCCCTCATTCTTCTCTGAATTGGCCTGGAAATCATCAGTGCAAGCAACCTGCAAAGAACCAAAATTTTGCAAAACAACAACGCATAACGTATGATTTCATCAAGTTGTAATGTTTGGCCAAAGCTGCTTCTATGAGTAAATGTTTCTTTTATAATCCCACAGCCTTACTTTTATAATTTTCAAAACTGCTTTTCAAAATAGTCTCAAATTTCTAAAAAAATATTCAACTAGAATGCTTTCAATTTGAAAATACTGTTTTATAAATATTCTCTGTTCATTTACCCTCCTTTGACCATAGCATAAGTAAGTTCACAACTGCAATAATTTTAAAAAATCTATTCATCCTATGTAATTTGTACCAACTTTCCTAACTACCTCAATTCAGAAAGTTACATAGTTTGCATAGTTACAATATATGATTTATACTCTTTAGAACAATTACTGCATCCTCCTTTGCATTACATGTCTTTCTTCTCTTAGTATCACAGATAATACCATGCATAGAATTATAAAGAGGGCATTTAATAACTATTCACTGAATTAATTTACATTAATTCTCCAAATATCTGGAGATGCAACATGCTCCTCTCAAAAAATATTTCTGTGTTTGTATAATCTGATGAGAACACTTTAACTTCCTATAGTGTAACAAATAAACTTTAGACTGGTCCATATTCATGGTTAAAGAAAATAAAGGAAACAAACTATTACCTGACATTGCAGGCCATCGGGATCTGGGGTTATAATAGAGGAGATAAGACTTGACAATATGTGGTAAAGAATGTACACCCCATATTACTCAGGTAATGAGGATTCATGAGAGAAACTTAAGATAGGAGATAAAAGGTTGTGGAAGGGGTGCCAGTCTGCTTCTTTCTCTGGGTTTGAGTGTCTGATTTTACAAATCGCTTAATAAAGTCTCAGTCCCGCTAAACTGAATTTGGACTATATTTCTCAAATGTCTGTCAGGCCAGCACTATGGGTACCTTATCAGCAAACTCATACTAGATAAGGCGGGCATAAGACACCATCATTAGCTTGGGTAGCAGCCCTGGTAGGGGGATCATACCAACTCACCAGGTGCCAAAAGGAGCTAAGATAGGTACTGGTTACACTGGGTACTGATAAGTGTTTTCCACATACAGCCACAATTTTTAAGAATTTTATATTGGATTACATACAAAATTCATATATATTGTGTTTCATTCATGTACACTGTGTTTCACACATACCTTCATTCACACTGTTTCATACAATCATTCCTATACATTCTATTTTTATTATTATTATTAGTTTTAATGAAAATTTACAGAGACTTTGGATTTCCATGCATTTGTTGTTGTACTTTTCTCCCTGCCCACCCCTCCCCCCATAGACTCTTTTCTTTGAAAAGTAAAGGAAAAATTCTTTAATTGTTTTACAATCCCTCCCCCTCCAGGTCCATTCCACTATGCAGCCTTCGTTCTGGACTCCTGTCATGACAATAATACCTAATGACATATCCCTTTTAAACAGTTCTCTTTCTCATCTGTTTCAATGCAGTATACATTATTTATCCCATCTTTCTCAGTCTCCCCCTAACCCCAATGTCAATCCTGTTGTATTTTTTAAAATTGTTCACGACTGATCCATGCCTATAATCCAGTCTTTCCACGTCCTCATTGGATCATTCCTAAATCCTTCTCCTCATCTTTCCATTCACCAAGTTCTGTTATCCTAGTCATTTCCTCCCTCTCCAACTCTGCTCCCATACCCCTCTCTTCCTTCCCTTTTGGTCTTCTATCCACATCTTACTAGTTAGCCTTCTGTTTTTACAATAATGCTCTTATGCAGTATTTATCTTTATGAGACAGATAGTTCACTGAGCACAATGCTCTCCAGACTCTACCATCTTAGAGAGTATTTTACAAAATTGTTACTCCTGATTGCAGAATAGTATTTCACTGAGTGAATGTACCATAATTCTCAATACATTAATTTATTGATGGGTATTTGGGTTGTTAGCATTTTCTTGCTATTGTGAATAATGCTGCTATGAACACAGGGGTACAAATATTCATTTAGATGATACAACCTTCGCTTGCTTAAAGTTAGGAGGACTTGAAATGCTGGCATCTCAACTGAGTGCAGCCTATCTTTCCTAAAGTCTATTATTGTCCTTGGTGGTTGGTGGTGAAGGTTTTGATCAGCTTCCCAAACTGATACAGTGTTTCTTTAGGGGAGGGGCCAGTTACCACTTTTTAAATAAAGTATTCCACACCTTGTGTGCAGTCTTTTAAACCAGTCTAGTGCCCATATTTTCCTCATTCCTCCCTTAACTAGTCTAATACTGAGGTTACTGAGGAGGGCAAGAAGCAATTTTCTAAATGTATCATTTCCTAAATGTACAATTTTCTAAATTGTATAGACAGGAACCACACACAAAAGCCAAGAGAGGTGGCTGTGAGACCAACATCTAAGTCTGAATTTTTGTGTCTGGTTCTTGACAACAACCTGAGAAGTAAAGGTCCCTTTTGGATTTTCAAAGGCGTCTTGGTGGCACAGTGGTTAAAGTGCTTGGGTATTAACCAAAAGATCCCTAGTTCAAACAAGCTACCTCTTGAGATTGATGTAGCAACCTGCTTCTTTTCGTTACTCTCCTTAGACTGTTGTTATGTGCCGTCGAGTCGCCTGCGACTCATAGCGACCCATGTAGACTATAGCCTTTAAAACCCTAAGGAACTGTCCTACTCTATCAATCCAAATGAAGCCCACTGCTGTGAACTACTTGATTCCCAATTATCCTGACCCTCCATTGGGTTTCCAAAGCTGTAACTCTTTACAGGAGGGTTGTTGTTGTGTGTGATGGAGTTATAACTAAATCATAGCTGACCATCTAGCATGTTTCAGAAGCAGTTTAATCACATAGGAGGAAATTCCCAGTCCTTCTCTGGTGGAATAACTGGTGGGCTCAAACCATGTACCATTGGGATTGCAGTGCTTCTTACCACTAGGTCACTAGAGCTACCTATGAGAGGAACCCATCTTTCTCCCACAAAGTAGCTGGTCAATTTGAATTGTCAACCTTTTGGTTAGTGGTCCCATAGTTACGAATCAGCCTGGCAACAGTAAATTTGGTCTGGCTGCCTTTCTAAAATAGCCATCCCACACTTAAAACATATGTAAATCAACCTGTTTTGTGCCACCAAGTAGGAATTGACTCATAGCTGACCTTCTCGAAGGTTTTCAGAGGCTGTAAAGCATACATTTGTAAATTGCATTGGAGGAAATGGTCACTTTTTCTTCCGTGGAAAAGCGGGTGGATTCAAATCACCTGCCTTTGGTGTGGCAGCACAACTCTTTACCCACAAGGCTAAAAGAGCTCCCTTTGTAAATGAACTTGGAGCATCCAACTGACCTCTGTGGCCACAAGTCTCAAGAAGGGAGAGAGTTGGATGGGTCTTTTCTTTCTCCTCTCCCTACACACCCAGGATGGTTCATGTAGCTCTGGAATATAAACATTCAAGTTGTAACCTCTTGGCCTCCTCAGCTGTGATATTAGTGGAGTACGCATAGCATTAACTTTATAGCACAGCATTAACCTTATAGCCTACCTAAGTAAACTACCTGGTTAGGAGGAGACCAGGAGTAGGCAGGACCACATTTTATGGGAGGTGGTGGTTGTTGCTAGGTGCCATCAAGTCGAGTACAACTTACAGCAACCCTATTAAGAGAAGATGTGAACCTTGTTCTATCCTGCACCATCTTCATATTTCTGACACACAAGAGCCCACTGTAGCAGTCACTGTGTCAATCCACCTGGCTGAGGGTCTTGTTCTCCTTAGCTAATCCTCCACCTTTCCCAACATCATGTCCCTTTCCAAGAAATAACTCCTGCTAGCAAAATGCTCAAAGTATGTGAGGTGAAGCCTCATCATTGTTGCCTCCAAAGAGCACTCCGGCTGCACCCTCCCCAAGACATATCTGTTTGTTCTCTTGGCCATCAGTGCTCTTTTCCAACACCACAGCTCAAAGACGTCAATTACTTTCCTGTCATCCCTATTCATTGTCCAGGTCTCAAATTCATAGCATGTAATTGCAAAGACTATGGCCTGAATCAGACACACCTTAGTCTTCAAACTTATATCATTACTCCTCAATAATTTGGAGAGGTTGCTAACTGCAGATTTTCCCAGTACAATGCATCTCCTTATTTCCTGACTGCTGGTACCAAGGGTGTTAATTGCGGATCCAAGCAAGATGAAACTGTTGACAGTTTCAAGCTCCTCTCCATCCGTCATGACACTACCTATCAGTCCAATAGGGCATGTGTATATTTATAGTATGTGTATATTTACAGGACTGCTTTTAGAAGCTAGGTAAAACCAGCCTGTCAAAAATGTCTTGTTTAAGTCCCTCACTCACACACAAAAAAGGCAGATGAGGTATATGTAAGATTCAACTCTGCTCAGAGAGTTTCTGGGTCAGAGGGATTACACACCAAAGAATTTTTATTTTTGTACACGTGGTGCTGGAAAAGAATACTGGATATACCATGGACTGTCAAGTGAACTAATAGCTTTACCCTGGAGAGGGTGAAACCAAGTTGCTCCCTGGAGACAAGGATTTTAAGACTCTATCTTACATACTTCAGACATGTAGCCAGGAGCGACCAGTCTTTGGAGAAGGATGTTGTGTTTGGAAGGGTCAAGGGACAGCCCAGGAGAGGAAGACCCTGGATGAGATGGATTGATACAATAACTAGGGTAATGAGGATAAGTGTGTCAGAGACAGTGAGACTGGCTCAGGATAGAGTAGAGTTCAGAGCTATTGTTCATAGTATTATGCTGAGTGGTAGTTGACTCGATGGCACTCAACAACAATGCTTCTTCTGTAAATAATAAAAGTTCGTTTCTATGTATATCCTATGGAATGACTATCTCATGGTCTGAGTATCCCTTGGACTGCCAAAAGAACAAGCAAAAACCTGTCTTGGAGGAAGTGCAGATGGGGTGCATGCCATGATACATACACCCTTGAAGCAAGAATGCTGAAACTTCATCTCACATACTGTGGGCATGTTGTCAGAAAGGACTAGTGTTTGGAAAAGGACATCATGCTGGGAAAAGTGGAGGGCCAGAGAAAGAGAGGAAGTCCCCCAAAAGATGGGCTGACACAGTAACTGTAACGATGGGCTCAAGTATATAGGAGATTGTGGAGATGGTATAGGATATGGCAAGGTTCACAAAAAAAAAAAAAAAGAGTGATAACCCAATTAGAAAATGGGCAAAAGACATGGAAAGACTTTTCATAGAAGAAGACATTCAGATGTCCAACAGACACATGAAAAAAATGCTCAAAATTACTGGCAATAAGAGATATGCAAATCAGAACCACAAATGAGATATCATCTCACTCCAGTAGCAGTGGCAAGCTTTAGCAGGGCAGCAAGCAATAGATGTTGGAGAGGATGTGTAAAGGTGAGAACTCTCATACACTGTTGGTGGAATAGTAAAAGGGTACAACCACTCTGGAAGGCAATTTGGCATTTCCTCATAAAGTTGAACATAGAAACTCTGTATGACCCAGCTATTCTACTACTAGGAATAATACCCCAGGGAAACTAGAACTGAGACACAAACAGATTTGTACACCAGTGCTCATAGCAGCATTATTTACAATTCCAAGAACATAGAAGGAGCCCAAATGTCCAATCACAATGGAATAGATTGAGAAAATGTAGTACATTTACACAATGGAATACTATGCAGCAATCAGGAGCAACGGTTTTGAAAAATACTACAGAACTAGGGAGAGACTAGAGAGCATTATGCTGAGTAAACTAACTCAGTCTCGTAAGGACAAATGCCATTATTGTAAAAATAGAAGGATAACTAATAAAACAAGTATGGGAATGCAAGAGGGGAAGGGGTTAGAGAGGAAGGGTGAGGATGGGTAGGGATGAAACCACAGGGTTGCAAAGTTTTGTGAGTAGAGGGAAGGATGAAGGAAATGGAAACGATCTGGATGAAAAGACAGGGTAATGATGGGCAAGCTCCAATGATTAACTTTATAAAACATAATACATGAGAATTATTATATGAGACACAATATGTATGAAGAATAGTGTAGAACACAGTGTATACAAACTTTGTAAGCAAACCAATTATAAAAAACAGTTATGGAGGGAAAAAATCAACTAACACATTTTGAATTAAAATTATGTTCAAGGCACTACAAAAACATTCAAAGAAATAATGCCTGCTCTTCATAGGATTTAAAATAATCCCTAACATTAAAAATATATTACAATCAAGACATTTTATATTCATTCTTTTTCTTTTTTAAAATTAGTATGCATATACTTATTCATATACATTGTGTTTCATTCACGTACTTGGTACTTGCTTACCTGCATAATTAAATGCTGTCTAGGTATCAATTCAGAAGGGTCTTGGTATGCTGTTTCATCATGGTTTCTTAACTCCGCATTGCTTCTTAAACGTGGGTTTCCTTTGAGAAAGAATTATTTTCTCTATTTTAAGTCACTAAGTTCAACTCTCTTTCAGAAGTATTGCCTCTGATGTAATTATCTTTAAATATGTATTAGGTTTGCTAGGTTATGGTTATTTTATTGCTCTGATGTCTTCAGGAGCAAACTGAGTTCTAGGACAGCCTTTACCATACTATTCCTCTTTACCTACCTTAGTATGTCTAAAACTCCATGTAAAACCTCAGATTTTGTCTCATGCCCCACTAAAGATTAGTCATATCTTCTGAATAATGGAAATATTGCTTGAGTAGAAAAAGTGCTTTGTATTACAGTTGCCTCTATTGTCTGCTTTCTTTGGTTGTAAAAAGAACTTTAAAAATTATCAAGGAATGTGGATCTCCAAAGGATCAATTCTATACTTAGTTAAAATGAGAATGGATCACTGTACAATATTTTTAGCTGCTCTGCCTCATTCTAATCACTATCCTCTCTTCTATCAGAAAAGAAAGCCATTGTGGAATTCAGTGAAGGAAAACTGTATCATAAAAGTAGGTAGACAACAGTCACAGACTTAAAATATGCACAATGTCAAGATGGCTCCAACTTGTTGAGCAGACCATGGAGATCATTTAATAGTTAAAAGATTTTGCTATTGTGGCAATCTCAGTGTATTCATATTAAAATATGTATACCAAACTGGTAGACATGGTCAGAAATACAAGTGCATTTTTTAATGATCTCCACCACCACTTATTCCCTTCAACAATAACTTTTTCTCCCCTAAATGATCTTGACGCCTTGGTGCCCAGATTATAGAGATCATGCTCTTATTTCTACTGCATTGAATCTTAAAAGTGGAACTGGAACAACCATCCATACCTGTAAACAGGTACAAACATTTCTCAACTCATATACTTAACTTTTATCAACTTGAAATCCTGCAAGGAAGTACAATTTTTAGGGTCTTGTTTCCATTTGATGTGGCATTGTTATCCACCCTGTCTAAAATCAAAACCTTTCATACCAGTAGTCAAGAAATCAAAAGACGAGTCATTCCGGGAAAATAGGTTGTCAAGGACCTGTCTCAAGTACTAAAGAATAATGATGTCAGTTTAAAGACTAAGGTGTGCCCAAGCTATGATCTTCCCAATTACTTGCTATGCATCTGAGAGTGCACTGAAGAGTGAGTAAAGGCAATAGAAGAAGAATTGATCCTTTTAAGCTGTGGTGCTGAAGAAGAGCACTAAATAATCACAGACTGCTAACTGTCTTGGAAAAAGTGCAATCAGGGTACTCCTTGGAGGCAAGTTTGGTGAAACTCTGTCTCACATATTTTTGCATGTTTTTTAGGAGGGAGTCCTTCAAAAAAGATATCATGCTTGGAAAGGTGGAGGGCTATTGTAAGAAGCCCTTCAACAAGATGGATTGACCATAACAATAGGCTCAAGTATGTTTGAGGAAGGCCTGAAATGCTTGGTGTAGAGGATCAAGGACTGCAGCCTCCAATATGGATTGAGGTGCAATGTCAAGAAGACAAAGATTCTCACCACTGGACCAATTGGCAACATCAGGATGGATGGTGAAGAGATTGAGATTGTTCACAGCTTTAGTCTGCTTGGCTCCAAGGTCAACACTCTTGGCACCAGTAGCCAGGAAATTAAAAGACATATTGCCATGGGAAAGTCTGCTGTTAGGGACCTCTCCAAAGTACTGAAGAACAATAGTGAATCTCTGGAGACTAAGGTGCATCTGACACTGGCCATGGTCTTTGTGATCCCTTGTTATGCATCAGAGAGTCAGACAATGACTAAGGAGGACAGAAGGAAAATTGATGCCTTTGAGCTCTGGTGCTGGAGAAAAGTATTGAGGGTACCACAGACTGCAAGGAAAACAAACAAATTCATCCTGGAAATGGTTAAACAAGGCGGCTCCTTGAAGGCAAGGATTCTGAGGCTTCGTCTAACATACTTTGGACATGTTGTAAGGAGGGACCAGTCCTTGGAGAGGAACAACATGCTTGGTAGGGTGGAGGGACAGCACAGGAGGGGACGGCCCTCTATGAGGTAGACTGATTCAGTAATTGGGGTAATCGGGATGGGTGTATTGGAGACAGTGAGATTGGCACAGGACAGAGCAGGGTTGAGGGCTGTTGTACATAGGGTCGCTATGGTTGAGGGCTATTGTACATAGGGTCGCTATGAGTCGTCGCAAGTGACTCGACGGCACATAACAACAAAACAGTGTTGTAGATGGTGAGGATGGCACAGGATAGAGCAGTTGACACATAACAACTTGGTACCTATTTACAAGAAAAATAAAGCAAGAGACTAAATGCAACTTGAGAATAACATTACCACTTCATGAGTTTGTATAATTAGTTACAAATATTTCAGATACTATTTTTAATTGATATTTTTACTGAAAGTTTATAAAGAACTTGGATTTCCATTCCTTCATTGTTGCACCTTTTCCTTTCTGCCCTCCTCCCCAGTTCGCTTTTTTCTTTGGAAAAAAAAAGTTTTCATTGTTATATCGCCCCACCCCCACCCCCACCCCGCAGCCAAAGACCACTTTACTATGTGACTCTTATTCTGGACTCTTGTCAGACACTTTTATGTACGATATGTGTTTAGTATACTTTACCTTCAACATACTGCTGCTGCTGAATACTTGCTCTCTCTGCTTTAGGGCTTTGTGTCTTTTTGTTTTCTTCTTCAGTGTCTGTATCTTTTATCTGTCCAAAGGCTATTATGTCATCTGTATCAGAAACACAAAATGAAGAGAATGGGGAAAAGTCAAACAGCCCATCTGAAATGAGTGATTTATATTCTACGTAATTATATGCTGGACCATTTGGGAACACATTATCTTGTTAGGTGTCATCAAGTTGGCTCTCACTCATAGTGACTCTGTGTGCAAAAGAACGAAATCCTGCCGGATTTGGACCCATTCTCATAGTCTCTATTTTGGAAATTGTTAATACTCTGGTGGCCTGGTGGTAAGGAGCTGTGCTGCCAACCCACAGGCATGCAGTTTGAATCTACCAGCTGCTTCAAGGGAGAAAGATGGGAAATTTGTGCTTACTTACTAATCTCTATGGCACAGTTTCACATGTTTTTTCCCCACACTACTCTATCACATTTAATCACCCTGTATTACCAAGAATTTTTTTATTAATTTAGTTTGTTTATTTTTCATTTCAATGAACATCTACAGAGATTTTGGAATTCCATTCATTC